GGGGTTTAAAGGGGTGTTTCCCGCCCTTGTTTTTTGGGGGAAGGTGGCCCCCCTGGGGGGTAAATTCCCGGGAAAGGAGTTGTAAATTTAGTGTGGTCCGGACGCAAACACCGGGAGGCCCCGGGGTGGGGGGGGGGGGGGGGCGTACTCATTTGTTGCTTGCCTTAGTCGTTTGACCATTGACCACGCGTCCCTTTCGAGACGGAGCACCGTTCCTACCCCTACTAGAGACACCACCAACACTTGGGGAGCTCTTTACGTTTCTGCCACAAACTCCATAAAAATTTGTTGCACATCTTATCCCCGTCCTCTAGGGCCTCTTGTGCCCACCATCTATCCCCAATTATCGCGATCGTTTTTTCGCTGTTGTCTAATTTACCAAACTTGTCCATGTCACACCCTCTCTGTCTCATTTCCTCCTCGAGATCCTCTCTTTCCTTCCTGTACAACTCACATTCCCCAACTATGTTGGTTCTACTCTCCTCCGATTTGCCACATGGACATGTGTGTCTATCCTCCTCTTCCTCTCTCCTACGGCTGGTATACCTCTTCCTCCGTTCTGGCAAGTCCAGATCGCCTACTCGAAATTGCAATTTCAGCTTTTTCGCATAGTCCATGGGGCCGTCCAAGTACGTCTTCATCCCTATCCCTTCTTTCAACTTCCCGTATATCTCCAAGTGGTCTTCGCTTCGTACCTTCTTCCGAAGGGTTGCCTCCTCCCTACTTTCTAGCATCTCCTTGACTTTCGTCTTGAACCCCCTTCCCCTTCCGTGTCCAACGTCTCCTCCTCGTCTCCTATCTCCTTCCAAACCTTCTCTACCACCTTGTCCCATCTGATTCCCTTCTTCCCTGGAGTCGCCTTTCCCCAAGCTGCCTTGTCAACCATGGCTGGTAGTCTATCGTCCGACATTCTACTTACCTTGTACTGCCAATTCAACTTCTGCATGTCTCTCTTTGTTTTAAGAGAGTACATTCCCAATTCTGCTCTCAATACAGTGTTGCTCGTTGTACTTGAACATCCTAGTATTTTCTTGGCCGCTGCCATCTGCACCGTTTCCAGCTGCTTGACGGCCTTTTCGTTACCTTCCCATACTTCTCCTGCATACTCTAGCCTAGGTACAATCACATTCAAGAGAATACACCTCTTAATCCTAGTGTCTAGGTGTGGGTCCGTAAGGATCTCGTCCATCTTGCCTATCTGAGCTTTACCCTTCCCAATCAACTTCGCTATGTGTGCGTCCCATGAGCACTCCTTCGAAATCTCTACTCCCAGGTACGTATACTTGTCTACTACCGGTAGTTCTTCCTCCCCCCATTTCCATTTGAATTGTACGGGATTTTTCTTGTCTTCGTTACAGACCACTACTGCGCATTTTCCTACGTTCGCCGACAGTCTCCATTTTCGGGTGTATCCTACCGCCGCATCTATTTGTTCTTGCAACCCTTCTGGTGTTTCGGATACCCCCACGAAATCATCTGCAAACATCAGTCCGGACACACTCTTTCCCCCTACTTGGACTCCCTGTCTTACTGCTTCAACCGCCCTTATCAAATCGTTGATGTAAATCTTAAAAAGAGTGGGTGACATCGTACAGCCCTGTGCGACTCCTTGGAGTATATCCACGTACTTCGAAATTTCCCCATCCAACATCACCACACTTCTTGTGCATTCTGTCATCTTTTTCAACATCCTCCACATTTTCCCCCGGATCCCGATGTCCCACATCTTTTTCCACAATCCATTGCGCCATACGGTGTCGTAGGCTCTT